GCATGTCTCTAGCAGCAGTGTATTGAGTCTTAGATCCTAAGCCGTGTTCTCCTGTACCAGGGCAAGCTTTGCCTTAGATATAATATCAGCAACTTGAGACCATGTTACATCGGGACTTTCCAAAACACACATGAAACATTGGTCTATGAAAGTGATCCTAAGACTTGCAAATATTCAGGATTTCTATTGCCAAATATTTAATGTTTATATTATAAAAGCGTTGAAGTTATGTATAATGAATTTGTATTGTTTTGCATCTATAAAGAAGCAAAGCCCATGGTAGCTAACAGAAGCATGTTCAATCCTGTAGGGTTCTGCTTGGCCATGAGAGTAAAATCTGCTCAGGCAAGTAATAGTGTTTTCAATATAGTATCTAGAAAAAAGTAAGTGCTGATGTGCTACATCATGTGGAGAGAAGGTATTGGTACTGCAGGGAGTTGTGTACAAGACTGTTTATGCGGCAAGAAAACGTTAGCCAAAATTTTTGTGGGTGTTTGCTTTTTTAAATTTAGATCTTCCTAAAGATTTAATAATAATAATAATTGTTTCAACAGTGTTTTCCTGGGTAGTTTAAACCAAGCTTATCTGGGCAATATTATATCCTAAATAATTTATTTTGGGCTATAGATCATATATTTCTTAAAACAGAAAAAGTGGATTAAAGCAGGTTAGAAACCAAATGAAAGCATTTGAGAGTTCATTGAAGTGGTCAAAAGTTGGAGCAAGGCAGCACTCCCAGTGCATTTTTAGAAATTGGACCATCAGTCTTCAGTGTTTGTATTTCTGTAATAGTCCTTTGCCAGATATCTCAAAACAAAAGAAATGAGGATCAAGGAAATGATACTAAAGTTTTGCCATTCGGTAAGTGGCCCTCACAGTACTATGGGCTGCAGTCTCTGTAAGTTGTCTCTGTGGCACAAAGTCAGTTTGGCTATCAGCAGGTCCAACTTTAGTGGAGTTTTCATTAACATCAGTTTTATCTCCTCCATTTCATTTTGACTTTTAGGTTTTAGAAAAAAATCACTCAGTGTTTAGCTTCCCAAGCTTACTTTTGGATCAAAGGATAAATTTTACACATTGCAGGTTCTGACCTGGAGGTAGATGTGAGAGAAGTATAAACAGACATTAGTTTCTAGAATTATATAACTTGAATGAATACCTTAAAGAGTGCTTGACTGAATTCTCTGACTTCTGACTGAGACCTAAGGCAGGTTTTGTTACAGACCCCTGATGGATAAACAATACTGGCTGCATTTTCGAAGACCAGGTGGACTGTTGGGTTCGATGTCCTACTCAGACGGTAGCCCGTGGAAGATTCTGTGGGAAGAGCATCATTAGGTGATATTATGGAATGGTGATACTTTCCCAGTACTCTGTGGGACTTGGTAATGGGACAGTGATTTTCTGGCCAGGAGATGGTATCTTTGTATATAAATAGTGTTAGTGGCTCTTGCTTCTGTGAGTTTGTGTAATAATTTTTGAACCCCTGTAAATTTTTGGCATCCTTAGCTTCCCGTAGTAAGAAGGCATCCACAGTTTAATTATGTGTTATGAGAAAAACTGCCTTCTTTTGTTTGTTTTAACCTGCCCACCTCATGACTTCATTTGGTTTTTCCTATGTCTTGTATCACATGAGGTGAGTAATTGTTCCCTATTCTCCTTTTCCCTGAAGCTCATGATTTTATAGATATTTTTCATATTTCCTTTCAGTTGTCCATTTTCCAAGCTGAAGAGTCCTTATTTATTTAATCATTCCTCAATATTTAAGCTGTTCCATACCTTTGATCATCTCTACAGGATTTCTTTGTACTTTTTCCAGTTATACTGTATGCTTTTTGAGAAGGGAGGAGGGACAGGGGTTAGAACTACCCTCAGTATGCAAGAGATGGATGCAATTTTGGTTTATATGGTAGCATAGTAGTGTTCTTGGTTCTGTTCCCTATGCCTTTCCTAATAATTCCTAACACCGAGTTTACTTTTTGAGAGTATTTTAGTGATGTTTTCATAGAAAAACCTATTATAGTTATAAGGTCTCCTCCCTGAATAGAAATAACTAGCTCAAAGTCCATCACTGTGTAAAACTAGGATTATGTTTCCCTGGGTACGCAACTTTGTAGTTATTAAATCGAATGTTGTCTCCCAATTTAATGTCTGATTATTCAGTAATGTGACTTTTTTTCATACTTCTCAGTGACTTTCGGTTTTTCAGCAGCAAACTTTTTTTTATTTCATTCTTTCCCCCCCGCCCCAGATCACTTATAAATGTTTTGAACAGCAGAGACTGTAGCACAGGTTCTTGTGGGACCCCAGTGGTAATCTCCTTCCATTATGGAAACTTCCATTTCTTCTAGCTCTGGTTTCATGTGTTTTAACTAGTTACAAAATCCATGAGAGGTAACCCCTTTATCCTACGTTGGCTTGCTTTATTTAGGAGCATTTTGAATGAACTTATCAAATTTTCTCCACTGAGAAATTGCTGGTATGAAAAAGTTACTCAAGGTAAATGGACAAATACAATTGTTGTTTAGTTCAAAACGGAGGTGTTGGAGCTCATAATCTTTCAGTAGTACTGATGAGGAATTGATCAGGCTGTGTACTGAGCATTAACATGACTTTGATGGACCTCCTGAATGCTCTTCAGTTTTTCTGGTGCAGTTGATATTCATTTCAAGGGCTCGTCTGCAGTAACCCCTAGCTTTCTCCCAAAGGGTGCATCCCAGTCCTAGCGCAGTCCTGTGTGCTTTTCAGCTGCCAGCATGACCTGACTTTACTGGGGGGTTAACAGAGACTCCAACTGCTTCACACAAGGGAAAAGTCCAATGAGCTTTAACATCAGAATGGACCGTGGAATCTGTATCTACAAAGTGGAAGGAGCAGATACTACCCTTGGGATGGGAGTTGAGTCCAGGTCATAGCGACCTCCTGATAACTCATGTGGTGAGCTGGTGGGATCGGAGAGGAGACAGCTGGTGATAGTTTCAAAGATCCCTTCTCCCTTTCATGTACTCCTTTTAAGTTATGCTTTATGTGGCATCCTGTGCCCTGTCGGGGACGTTGCTGGGAGGCCAGCAGCACACAGGCATCCATGGATCCAGAGCTGAGCAACTGCAGGTAAAACCACAGCAGCAGAGGATCATGACCACATTACTGGGACAGAAGGGGGAAGGCAGGTTCAGAAGAGGGAAGCAGGTCTCCCAAGGTTAACCACAAAGCCAGATTCGGACCTGTATGACTTGGGCTTCAAGGCTTGAGTACTGTCAACAACATTACAGTTGTCACTTTTTCAAGCACTGGTGAAAGGAAAAGAACTGAAAGACTGAGAATCTTGCAGCAAAAGGGAGCAGAGAGTCAGAGTCATTTATCCAGTGTTGCACTGGGGTACAATGGAAGCAAAGGACTGAGGAACCATGGGTGGGATCCCTTGAACCAGAGAAGTCTAGAGAAGGCTACCTACAGCGAATGGCCCATAAGAGCAAAAGTAGTAGTGGTGTTCCAAGCAGGAGGAGGCTCAGAGGATACAGGTGGAGATGCTGGCAGCTGAATTCCTTTTGCACTGTGTTGTCTGGGTTGTCTTACTCCGCTGTTGCTGAGGAGCTGGGTAGGGAGAGTGACCCTTTAGTGTTTAGAATCCTTGTCCTCAATTTGCTTTGAGAGGAATGCATTAGGTCATTTTTGAAGGAGAGTACATAGGGCTGGCACTTGCTTCTGGTCTTGTTTGAAACATCCTTCTGAATATTTTAAGGGTTTGCTGTGATGATGAAGCTTGTGGGGGAAGGTGCAACACATTCAAGGGAAGCTGTGACATGTTAAAAAATCTAGGTTGTAATTTTTGATAGGATCCTGAAGCAAGGAGATTGCAGTTAACTCCCTAGCCAAAACCATGATCTACACTCTGAATCATGGCATGAAAGGTAAAAGACACCAAGTAGCTTTTACATCCCAGTTACTTATGACATGCATAGGAATACAAGGGCAGTCTGCTCTGGGAATCAAAAGGAAATATTTGGAAAGAGCGGCTGAGAGAAACATGACAGAGATCAGCAGAAACTTGGGAAGCTCAGGCGTTGAGGCTTGAAGGCTTTATTAGCCAGTGTCAGGATTCAGTGGGTCATATGGCATCCTTTCTTGTGAGCACAGGATGTGTGAGTTGCTGGGCTATTGTAGCCTCTTCAGGACACCTTGTGGTCCTGTCAGTCTGCCACCTGCTCTCTGCAAAGCCCTCGGCCTTGTGTACAAGTGTGTTGGTGCTGCCTTCTCGCTGAGGCTTACAAACTTCAAAGCAAGCCAGTGAGCTCCTGTTGGTACTTATCATGTTGCAGGCCACAGCTGAACTCCCACCGTACAAGCCTGGGTTGTAAGAGCTCCTGCCTCTTTGCAGGAGGCCTCTTCTCCTCTGGAAAAGGCTTGCATTACTCTGATGTTGAAAGAAATGAACCTATCTTCAGTTCCCTCAGGTCTTTTGCCTTGTAACCTTATAGAGTCAATATGTGCCCTAGTTGTAACCTCACCCTACCAGTCCTTTATCCTCTCTGTGGATATTGTACTGCATGTCTGTGTTCTATTCCGCTCTCACTGCAGCATGTGTGTGCTTGGTGTAAGCCTTGCTTTAGTGTATTAACAAAATATCTACAAATCCAAATAAATAATTATCTCGTTAGTGATGGGAATCCTTAGCTCTTTTCCTGCTGCAATTCTGCCTCTCTCCAATGCTAATCAGCCACAGATATTCTTCAGTTTAGTTTTTCTTTTCTTTTTCCTTTGTCCTCCTCAAGCATGGCCTTACAGCTAGTAATATAGTCCCAGCCTGGAATTCAAGAAATTCCTTAGCAAGATGGCAGTTGGCACGTGGCACCTCTAGCAGGTGTTGTGCTTGCTGGTGCCATTTAATACAAATTCATAGCTGGCTAAGTATGAAGGGATTTTTAGGAAGCAGCAGTGCCTTGTAAACAGGAGTCCTTATATGCAGAGTGGTGAAAGCATGATGACTTTTCTTTTCTCAGGGCTCCAGAGAATCATCATTTTTCCTGGGAAGGAGAGATGGAGAACAGTGTCTACAACAAGGTGACACGGAGTCCACTGGTACATCCCAACTGTCAGCTCCATTTTGCTGTGCAGCAACTTCAGCAGCAGAAACTTCAGTCACGACAGCTGTTGGAGCAAAGCCAAGCCCGGCACCAGGTAACTAAGAAAAGATCCTGCCTGGGATGTAGCAGTGCTGACTGAGTCTTAGATGTGCAGAACCAACCCAGAGCCAGTACATATGGCACAGCTTTTGTGAAGGAAGTAGCTCTTCAAGTGGGTTGCAACAAAAATAGTGTTACCTGTGGTGATTTTGATAGCATTTTGAGGCTGTAGTTCCCAGTGGCTTCTTCCACTGCATTGGCATCCTCTTCCATTTGGCTACTGGCATGCTGCTGCTTGCTTTTCTGTACCAGTTCAGGGCATCCCCTTACAGGGCCTCAGACAGCCTTAGAACTGTCTACAGTCTCCACAGTTCTTTGTCACTTAATCTTGTCACTGTTCCTGCTTAGACTTGAGTTGTTCTTGGGTAGTGCTTCAAGCTGGGTCATTGTTGTATTTCAGTATTTCTAAACAGACAGTCTTGAAATTGTCTTGGCAGCTGTGTCCTCTGTGGCAAACAGACTCCATCAAGGCTTCATCTTGACTAAATTCTCCTCCTGGATATCTTCTCATACAATACAGTTACCAAAAGAGCAGTATGTTAAGGGGACTCAAAAGTTATTTAAGAAAATGTTCATTCTTTTGAAGAAATGTATTAAGTTCTTCTAAGAGCCTTCAGTGTGCAGGAGGCATGTCCACTGACCCTCATGGCAGATGCAAGTTTTCTCTGCAACCCTGAAAATGTTCTCCAGGGCTCCTACATGTTTTGTTATTACTACATTTAAGATCTCCTTTCACTACTTTGCATGGAACTGTCTCACGAATATATGACTCCTTTGTTACAATTGCAAGGAGAAAAGATGGGCTCAGTGTCCAAGAGCTAGAGGAAATATGAAGAAGGATTTGTATTACTGATGTTCTGGATGACACCTAGATGCCAAGGGTGGACCACTGTGTCTGGAATAGCATTTCAATCCTGAAGAAAAATCTTCCAAGGTTACAATGAGTTCACCGATGCACTCGTTACTTTTCTTTGTTATTATTGGGAGAGGGGTGTGTTCTTTATTCTGAGTGATGTCCAAAAGGCTTCCCTGCTAAAGGGAAGGAAGTCCTTGGATGAACAAACCTTCACTCAGAAGAGATTGGTCTCCATTAGGAAGGAGCTATTTGCCTGGGCAGTCTGGCAGGACTGGACTCCCACAAAACCATGAACAGAGCTAACGTGCAGAGGTCTGAACACCCACTCTCCCTCCTGTGAAGCAGATGAGTCACCTAGTCAGGGTCCTTGCGAATAGGTTATAGGCAAATTGCCCTTGTCATTTTCTGGGAGCATCTTGAAGGAGTGGCCCTTCTGCCTTTGGTCCTTGCTCTCCTTCTTTCAAGGCCCTCGCTTAGCCATGCAGTTTCCATCCCCAAATTCCCTCACCTACAGTATTCTTGCTCCCCCTCTGAGCAGGAGGTCTTGCTTTCATCTCCATCCAAGGGGCTCTGGGTGGGCAGCTGTGGCTGTTCATGAGCTCAGGAAAGGGCTGTGAGCTGGCTTGTGCATGTGAGGAGGCTGGAGCTGGCCATGGGGCCTGGCTGAGCCCTCTTCTAATTGCTGACATTGAGCTGATGTTATTCTTGGCCTGGGGCAGAGCCATTACTCAGGAGTTTCTGTTAAAGTGATTCTTTGTTAAACTCCTCTCACCCCCACAACATCCCCCTCCTTTCTCTCTCTCCTTTCTCCTTCTGAGCCAAGCAGTTTGGAGTTGCAGTATTGAGGCCATTGCCATGCCGCAGGGCTCATACTGCACTGAAGTTGCAATTAAATGAAGAAAGGTATTTGCTGAACATGGGGGCTTTCAGACTTTCTGTAGTGAAAACCACATCTTAATAAAATTATTGTCTCTTGGATACTTCCTCTTCCACTAGATATTGTATGGAGCCAGCCAGACTTCCCCTTCCAATCACAGTTGCGCCGATCCTCTCCCCTTCCCAGTCACTGCGCTACCCTCATCTTCATCTGTCTATCCCCTGCTCTCCCTCTCTAGTTCCCTGCCACTGACCTCTTCCTTTGGCTAGTTAGCTTCTCAGACTTCAGTCCTTTGACTTGGCCTTTCCAAGAACTGCCCTTCTCTTTTCTGCTGCTTACACACTCCCTGCCCATCTCCTTCCCACTCACACTGCTTTGACTTCCATCTCACCTTTTCCTGCTGGCCATCATTTGTCTTTTCCCCACAGCTGATGTAGCTTATTCTAGCCTGCATGGCTTTACCACATTTCCTAGTCAGTGTCATGTAAGACACGTATTGAGATCTACTCCATCCTGTGTTGTCTTGCCTGCTATATTCAAATTCCTCAGCCTCCTCTCAACAGAAGTAATATATCCCCCAAAACAGAAGGCCTATCACTTGAAAGACTGTCATGATCTCTCTGCTTTGGGGAATGCACTCAGGGTATCTCCAATCTTGTTTCGTCTGATTGTTCAAGCTCTTGTTATGGTTAGAAGGCAGGCTAGCCGTTTGGCAGTAGCTGAAGTGCATTTATTAATATATCTCAAGGCATACTCTGAGTATGGCATGACCATACAGCATGACTAGATGCCATGTATGCAGATAGCGTGTAAACAAGTAACAGAAGCACTATGATTAATAACACAGGCAAACGCTTCTGCCTGTACACTAACCAGTTCGATATGTTGGAGATGAGACAGATGCATTGGAAAGCATGCAAGTTCCTAGTCAAGTATTTGTGTAGTAGAAATACCCCCATCTGCCCTGCAGTAGATGTATATTATAATGAAGGCTTGTTGTGCACTTCTCTGTGGCAGCACCCACTCTTGATTGAGCACTTCCCAGATGCTTAAGAATGATGATTTCTCCTCCAGGCATTTAACAATTTGCAGAGTAGCAAATACTGTGTAGGTGGAGGAAGAGGAAGTAACCAACAATTTTCATTCACTGTATGTGGAAGTTAGTTCACACAGTGTAGTATGGTGGAAATACATTTTTGATGCCAGAACAGGTACTTCACTCCCTGGACAAAAAGCAAAACACCAAACTGACTGGATGAGAATCTAACAAGCAAATGGATGCAGTGATAGGACCCAGGAACAGAGACAATACAGAGCCTGAGAAAAGAGAAAAAAATAGAAAGGGGGCTGAGTTTGAAAGTGAAGACAAGAAGCTGAAATCTGACATAAACAAAATCAAGGAACAAGAATTAAAAAATCAAACCAAAAGACAAAAAAACCCCAGGCTTATAGCAGTATTTTTAATGTTAAAGGAGACTTCATGTGACACATTATGACCTAGATGTTAGTATCACTGCTGCAGTTGGCAAGCCAGTTAATATACCATCATTGTTTATTCTCTAATTGTTTCCTGTACTGGAAAGATGCCATTAGCTGTTAGGGAGGTTCCTCTTTCTCTCTGTGGCTATGTTCTGTCTGCTTAGCCTAGCATCTTCTGGGTTTAGAATTTTATGCCAAATATTTCACATGGGAAAAAAGCTAAATTAAAACAAGAAAAGTACAGTTGTGTCATGGAATGATCCCCATCAGTCCTGCTTATATAAAAAAGCTCATGTTAAACAAGACGTGAATCACATTAATGTGTTGTGGTCAGTTATGGTTGCATTTCAATCAGAAGTTTAAGTAGACTTTACGCTATAAAACATTGGGCTAAGTTAATCTGAAATAATTCTCTCAGTTGTTTAAAAGCAGTATGTTCTCTGAAATTTTCCTCATTTTATGACGTTCAGCAAACTTTTTTTCTTTCAGTGTATATGACTGGGAATGTTGAGTATTCTAAATAATATTCCTAGTATTCCTAGAACTAGATTATTCCTGCCTGAGGACACAGGGCCTCTTTGAATGCAGCCTTAAACATCATTAAACTGTTTTCTAAACTATTATATATTGGACTGCTGTCAGATTTGCAGTCTCTCTTCCCCTTCAGTCTCTTGTTCATTCTTGTTTTGCAGCTTTCTCCCTCAGATTGTTTTCCCACTAAATGTGCTAACTGCCATTTTTCCTACTTGAGTCTTGTGATAGTGATGAGTCAAAGTCTTAGTCTTTACTTAGTCTGCTAAGTAAAGCAGAACAACTGTTCTGAAAGCATTAGTCTGTGCTGATTTATACCAGCTGAAATTTTGTCCCCATGTTTCTGATCCTGTCACTATTATTAGAATTATGGTAATGCCCAGATGTATTAAGTATCTTTCCATTACAATGATGTGGTCCAATCCTTGTCTTGCTTTTGGTACTGGGAGCATTCTGGGACAAAGGAGAAGGCACCAAGTCAGCTTATTTTAGTATATTTTAGTCTCATTCTGAAGAATTTACCAAGGAAGGCATACTTCAGGACAATCTGTGCATACGATGAATTTGCCAGTCGTCTTTAAATTTCTTGATGACCCCAAGATGCTCATCTTACTGCAGTTTAAGACTATGGCAGTTAATAGCACATTTTGAGCCTGTCCTTTATCACCACTTTGTGAATTTTCAACTCAACTGATTGTTGCATCCAAACTGATTTAACTGACTGCTTTAATATATGTTCAAAAGAATCTCCACCAAACAATTTCTAAGACTCCAAAGGTCTTCCAAGCCTTTTAATTCTCTGTATTTTTGCAATGTCATCTGAAATGCAGTTGCTCTTCTAAAAGTGGTGGGGTTTATTTTGTTGGGTTCGCTTTTTTTTCTTTTTTTAACCTAAATCCTCGTCATTGTTTATTGCTTATAAACATCTCAGTTTCTAGTGCTAGCGATTTGGAACTAGCTGCACAGATCTTTATGCAGTACACGTGTGTGTGCATCTGTCTGTCCGTTCTTACACACTGCTGAGTCTCATTATTTTCAGATTTGCTGATCCAATTTAAACTGAATGACTATGGCGTAGAAATCTCAAAACTATGTTTCATGTAAATTTCATGAAAATAAAGAGCTATATATCTGAAAAGGGGATTAAACTACTGTTCCCATTATGGCAAAGGCTGCAGCATGAGGCCACTCCTAATTAGACGGCAGAAAGTCAACACAAGAATGCCCCAAACCCATGAAGGGAGGCATAATTTGGGGCATGCTTTATATTAGATGCTGCAAGATTGAGCCCCAAGACAGATTCACAGGAAATGAGCTTCATTTACCTCCTCGGGTCACAGAAAGAACATGTTTTTGCTTGCAACATTTGTTCCGTTACTGTGCTAGGGATGGGTGTTAGATACAGGGATGGTAAGTGCCAGGAACATTCTTTCTGTTTTTGAAGATCATTAATATATCTGCTTTTCTTCAAAGTGCTACAGTACCTCCCTGCTTTTAATCATGAGCAGCCTGAGCTCAGCTGCTACTGGCTAATACTCTTAGATGTGCATCGTCATTACTGACAAGCTGTACATGTTGAGATTTTCTAATTAAAAACTACTATTTTTGTACAGATAACGCTTTGTGTATGGTGTTCATGTGTAGATAAGAAAGCAAGAAGAGGTGTGATCTAATGAGGCAAATATGGGATTTGGAGTCAGGATCTTCTCTGAGCTCTCAACCTAGCTTTTTGTATTGCTTCAGTCTGTGGCTTAGGGAAAATCACTTTCTCTGTCAGTGTTAACATTCTTTATGTGGAAGATGGAGTCAATGCTGTCCAACCTCCCCAGAGAACTGTGCAAGACAATTAACTCCCTAACGCTTTACATGATTTTTAGCTAGAAGGTCTCATAGTGTTCTAAGTATTTTTCAGATTTGTAGCCCTAAGAACTTGTCGGGGAAGCAAATGTCTCCTCAACATCAAGTTAAAACTGAGAGCCTGGGAAGTCTGGTTCAAAGATTTTTACTTGCAGCAGCAGTAGTTGTAGCGTGCTACCTGCTTCAGGGATGCCTCTGTCAGGGTTTGTCTAGGCTTCTGCTCTCCCTAGATCCTGAGCCTTCAGAATTCAGAGTGATGAGGTCTGTCTCCTACTTTTTGGATGTGCTGAAATCGCTTCCCAACCCTTCCTTTGCGTGGTCAGGCCCTGCTCTGCCCAGCTGCCCCCTTTATTTGCACAGTAGCTTCTCCTGGTTTCCTGTCCTGTCCCCAGGGAGTCTACAGCAGGGCAGGATACTTTGTAGCTGAATCCAGAAGCCACGGTCCCTGTCAGCTTCCAGTCTCCCCATCCCTGCCTGGAAGGCAGACAATCTCAGCATAGCATGGAGACAAAGGCCTTTTTGGAAGTCAGTTACCCCCAAGAAAAACGTCCACGACCTTTCTTTAGGTGGGTCTCAGGCCAGCTTTTGCTGATCAGGTTTTGTTAGAGCATCCATGCTTGCTGTTTCTTCAGAGTCATGGACCTCCTTGTCAATGCATGTTAACAAAGGGAAGGGGTTAAGACTGTGTGCTTTGTGGACTCCAGGATCTTAGTTATTTTAATAACAAGAAGAACTTCTTATAGTAAATATGCATAATATCAAACAGAGCACACTGAAATGTCACTCCTGAATAAGAAGGGGGTGCAGTGACTTGAGGGTCTCCATTCCAACCCCATGATGTGTCAGACTCTAAAATGGAACTTGGTTTAGTCTCTTGCATCTTACTTTGTTTTGCTGGGGGGAGGTGGGGTGTGACTGCTATTTTCCAGACTTCTGCACTTGTACCAGCTACTTATTCAAAATCTGAAAGCTGCAATCAAGGTAGAGCTTCAGGGGAGGGAGAGGTTAAGAAAGATTGGGAGCTCAAGGGCATCTTGTCAGTGAGCTCTAGTTAGGAAACAGGCGTGTTTTGGCTCCTGCACTTCCTTTTCTCCCTAGAGCTCTGCCTGTCAGAAATGCCTTCCCACACACCACTGCCCTACCATTTGCCAGAGAATTGCGGGGGAGAGGGGCTTTTCCTGTCTGTGTGCTGACACTCAGCCAGCCCTCAGACTGTGGTTTTCTCTGGAGCCTGGAGCCCACTCGCTGTGGCTTTGTGTGTTTTTCACCAGAGAAGAAGCTGAGGACAAATGCAGTGAAGGGCACTGCTCCCAGGGTCACAGTGAGGTGACTGGCGAGGGCTCAGCTATTCCGCTCATCTCCTATCATTGACCTCTAGCTGCCAAACTACACGGTTACCGTATTGCCTCTTTGCCTTGAGAATCTGACTGACTTCGAGGAAAACCAAGTCGGAACTCTCAGCAGTTTACTCCTTTCTGAAAAGAGTTGAGGAGTTTGCAGAGCTCTCATAGGGAAGCATTCCCCACTCCCTGCTTTGCCAGTCCACTGCTCAGTTCTCCAGTGTCTCATAATATGCAGATTCTTTTGTTCCCTGTAACAAATCTCCAGCAGACTTACTGTCCCACCTGCTATAGGAATAGAAATATTTTCTCTTCCCTGGTGTTACTGGGGATTTCCTTTTTGTCAGCTGCTGACCTAAAGTCCCTTTTCAGAGAAGGTACCCTAGAGTCTTTCTGTTATTCCAAGCACCTACAGGGTTAGACTGAAGAACTAGCATTGTAACATCTTCCCCATAACCTTTATCTTTCCTAGAACTGTGTCTCAATCCTACCTCCCACACAAAGAGTAAGTTAGCAAGATAAATGCAGAAAGTCAGTCAAAGCAATGAAAGCTTTAGTTCTTTGTGGACGGGAGTCCACTGCAAGATTAGATTGAGGATTGGACCTCTTGTTTTTTAATCCAGAATAATACCATTCTGTGGCAGTAATGAGCTTGTCTGCCTTCCTTAGAAGCTAGTCCCAGCTTCCAAGGGTATAAAATTCAGCTCTAAATACTACATCACTGACTTGACTACTTAACTCTTGTTTTTATGTATGGGACTGTCCCTGGAGCCCTGGGGTTGCCTTCACCAGGCAGATATTATCACTCTCAAAAATGTCATCCACCTCCGTCAGCTTGCTAAGCAATATTCAGAGAGGTAATTGCCAATTACTATGGTATTTTTGTCTTGTTCATTTTTTTTTTTTACTAGGCTCTCTTTGCCAGCTACTCACAATCCAGCACCAGCCATATATCTGTGCCAGCTGGCTCTGATGCCTGCAAGACATCAAGTGCCACTTCTAGTATCCAGAAGGCAGCCAGTTCGCACAAAGTGATGCCATCCCAGAGTACGCCTTCTCAGCTGGTTCCAAAGCCTCCAGCAAACCACAGGCAGACAGCGGTCAGAAAGGCTGCAGCCCAGAGGATTTCCAAGTAAGTTTTATCTGTTCCCATCTGCAAGAAGGAATATCAGAGGAGAACCTGTCTACATGCAACCCTGACATAGATCTTTTGGGCTGTGCTGTCCAAGATAAATCTCAGAATAACCTAAGCTGTGTGTACTGAAACAGGTGTGCACTATGTTGCAGTTCCATGTTTCACAATGGTAAGAAGACTGTAACATCATGCAAACATAAGGACATAGGAACTGCCAGATTGGATCAGAGAAGTATCTGATCCAGGGTAGGATTCAGTTACCTAAATACAGGTTGCTAGTGACATTTTAAATGCCCAGGGCTATTCCACCTGGCCTCCAGCTGCTGCTCCAGATGAGCACAGGTCTTCTGTTGATCTTGTGTTGTCTCTGCCGGTCCCATGCAGATGTCTCAAATAACTTGAGAGTACCAAGCATGGTGCTAGACACTTATGTTTAGGCATTTAGGCACTTGAGTCACTCCCTCCATGTTTAATCTTTGATGGGGGCTAGAATCTGGTGGGTCAGAAGAGGGTGCCAAAAAAAAAAAGCAATATCCTTAACAAGCTAATCTGCCCTTGAGCCAAATTTACCCATAAATTTAACACATGATAATTGACTTATGCCTTCAAGCACAAGTGTTTGTTTAATTTGAAGTGTTTATATTGTGCCTAATGTAACGATAACTTCATTATCTGTAAAACCCCTTCTTTTAACTTAGTTACTAAGCTTTGAGTTATATAGTGCTTGCTGTTCTAAGGTAGATGGATTTGGCATGTGTTATCTTTAAAAACAAAAAAAATTCACCATGAAATGTTGCTTACTGATTCTAAGTTTCCTTCCTTTCCATTTCTTGGTGTCTTCTCTTTTGGGCATTATAAGAATGTGAATAAGACTTCTGGGTTTTCTTCTTATCCTTTACCTTTCTTGGTAGCTTCCTCAGCACTCTGTTGATCTCCTCTGAAATGACAGAACTGCTTTAGACTAAGTCTTTCATCAGGTTTTTTCCACATATATCCTCAGACTTGTTTCATTCCTGAATACTGAAGGGCAAAAATGGCATTCATAGCTTCCTCCCTTATACTTACTCTACAGCCAGAAGAGTTGTAAGGCTTTCAGAGCAGGTTCCTGTGAGGTTTCCTGATTCTGTGTTCCCTTCCTGTTTAAAGAGAGAAGTTTTACTAAAAGATTACTGATGAGATACACCTTATGAAGATGCTAGGGTACAGTCAGTGTGTGTGTGGATCAAGTCTGGAACTGGAAGGCTTGGACAGAACTGCTTTGGGGAAGCTTGTGTATTTCCTGCCTGTACTCTTGCTATCTTAAGAGATAGCACACTAAATTAATCCCCCAAAACTATTTAAAAAGAAAACAAGGTGTTAGTAGACTTTGTCAACTCAGTAAATGCAGATGTGAGCATCAGGTGTGGCAGGTATATGCTGGTGGGTTTGCTATCTGATTTCTTTTATGTTGGGTAGCTCATGTTAGTACAGGTGACAGGCTATGTCAGTGGGTTTCTCTGCTGGGCAGCAGGGATGTGTATTTGAAGATGCCGGTGTGCTGTGCTCACTTCTTGGCAGAGGAAATGTTTATCCTTGTGAGATGGAATTGCAGCTCCTTGGACAGACTTTACTTTGCTGCATTTTTGTGGTTTCTGCTCTGTGACAGGCAGGAGTGTGGGAAAACCGGAAAAAAGTTCAGCACCAAAAATGCACAGAAGGGGGAAAAAAAGCAAAAGATTCCTTCAGAATTTCAGAAAACTAATCCAAGTATTGAAGGCTGCAAGGAGCCACTCCGGAAATACTTTCCAAGTTGCCTTTCAGTCTCCAGCATGAGGCTCCAAACCCATTCTTGCCATTCATGGGATCCTGCAGTAACGTTTTTTCACTTACATGGAAAACAGCAGTGCCCAGCTATATCTCCAGCATACTGAGAACTGATCGTTTAAAATCTGCTATGTCTTAGTCTAATTTAATCCATTCATTGTTGAATGATTAGGAAAAGACTTGCATTGGCAGAGGAGAGTGAATGAAGAGAAGGAATTCCTGTGTCAAAGGAATATAGATTAGAGAAGATGATGTCTTGCATGCTTCAGCCTGTTCTTTACAGTCCCTGGTTATTCTGTACAGAGTTTCTTGGACACGGTGTGTAGTCCGCTTTCAAAAAATCTCCAGTGGCAAAAACCCCACCATGTGCTAATAGAAGACTATTTAAGAATCCAGACACCTTTATTATCAGAAGGTTTCTCCTGATGTGCAATCTGAATTTTTCCCTTGTTTCATCCTGTTGTACCTTGTTCCTCCTTCCTGAACCACCCTAAACACTTTCCCTTGCAAATACTTTCCATCTTTTGAATATCCTTCTACTTCTTGGAGTTCCCTAGTGTTGCTTAGATTTATTGAGGTTTTGTTAACCTCAGATGGTAGTTCCACCTGCCAAGTCCTTAATTGTCTTGAATTTACCGTGTTTTCTTCATTTTCTCAGAGTGCTTGCATTGTGGCACCCAGAATTGTACTTTTCCAGTGGGGGGCTACCATATCCTTAGGTTATGACGTGGTAAACATCCCTCTCCGTAACATCTAATCTAATTTTGGCTTTTTTGCTGCTTCATTTCTCTGTCAGGTCACTTTTGATTTGCTGCCCACTCTCAACTCCTAACAGTTGTTGCCTGTTTTCCTGATTTCTTTCCTCAAAGAAGATCTCAGTGCTATATACTATTCCACAAGCCTCACTGAAACTAATCCCATTCTGCTGTTAAAGCTCTCGTGTCTTTTTTTTTTTTTTTCCGCATATATTTCAGTAAGCCAGACCTTATTTCTCTGCCTGCTTTTGCATGGCTGGCTTTTGTTTAATGTCTTTATTAAGATCATCTTTTAAAAGTTGTTTGTAGAATTTCTCCAGAGACTGGACTGTGAAGACAAACTAAAATCAACTTTGCCTCTTTGACCTATCTCTTCCTTGCATGCATTATCAATTCTCTCCCAGCCAGCACACATGGCTTCCAGAAGAGGAAAAAAAAAGAATAAGAAAGTAGATAACTACAAACAGAATGAGATGCTAAAGATGAACATTAACAACTAATTAAAAAACTATCTAGTAACTTGGACACTTCCTTGGTTAAAGCATAAAGGAAAAAAGTAATGGAACAGCCAGACAGTTCAGTCTTGTCTTTTCAGTTCCTGGCCTCTCTTGTTTTCTCAGCCTTTCAACTTGTAAAAGGTGGTAGGTTGACTTTATAATGGATTGTATCCAAAGGAGACTCCTTGCTTAAGCTAACAGAGTGGAAAAATGGGGCCCATATTAAGGTGTGGAAAAAGACTAACTGGGAGAAATGGTTTAATATGTAGCTCTATGCTGAAATGTAGCCCCATAAAATGGTCTCATGGGGCTCCATAGTTTTGATTAAATGTGCTCATATCACAAGTAGAAACATAGTTTTTGAACAGCTAACACAACAAGGTCTTTCTTTCTTTCCAAGGGCCAGACTGGGTCCTTTCCACTGCTCACATTGCCACTACTAATGGCAGGTCTGTGAACCATGAAGAGACCTGCTAATAGCTGAGAGCAACATTTTGAGACAGAGATCACAGATATAGTATTTGTAAGCCATGGAATGAAGCAGTTGTCCCTGGAAACAGCATTTGGTGTACTGAGTCTTCATGTTACATATGACAGCATGCAAAGTAGAAAAATATATTAGCTCAACTGTCGGAACCCAGAGTGAACTGGTACAGGTGGTAGACAGAAAATCTTTCTGCTTTTAGGAATTACTAGTCACAATAAATAAACATTTCTACGCTATCATTCCTATAGTAACTTTTCAGAAACCTGTTCTTTAACTATGATGGCATCAAGCAGAGCAAGGCCTTGAACAGCCTGTGAACAGAACTATCAGTCAAAGAGAAGATCTCAGAAAAAATCAGTTGTCAATGTTAGACCACTGTATATAAAGAGAGGAAATGCCAGGTAGAGAAAAGGAAGGTTCAGGATGTTTTCAGGGAGAGAGAAAGCCCAAAAAGATTACTGAGTTTACCAGCAATAGACTGGACCATCGCAAACTATTGGGGATGTTGATCAACACTGCATAATTTCTTGTACTGAACTTATCTGTTAATGTCATTCCCAACAACTCTATTCAGTAAGCCTTTTGAAACAAATATTCCCTTCAAGTCCCAACACCACAGCACAGAATCTTTCTACCTTGTTCTTCTTTTGTATATTTGCTTTGCATGGTGCCAGCAGCAGAAGAGCCAAAATTCTGCCGTGTTGTAACTAGTACAGAAATAGGGTAGAGGTGATGCATTTCTCTGGGGTTCAGGAAATTCATCCCACAGCAGGGTGGAGTCCTGACTACAATTGGATACGGCAGTAGCCAGCTGTTCTAGGACAGGCTGGCCAAGCCTGGCAAACGTGCCAAAAGTAGAACGATGGCCACAGAGCAAGCCCTTTATGTAAAACACTATGGTTTTGGTTTGTATCCCGTCTTACTTACCCATGCGTGCTTATTCATAAGCATGCATGAAGTGTCTTAAGTGAGCCAGGTACGTTGCACATACAAACTGAGTGCCCACTGAAAAGAGGACAGGCAGCGGGAAAGCAAGCATCTAACTGTTACTGGAACCCCGTTCACTTTTTTGCTACTGCTGTACTGTGGCATGCTTGTTTTTTTAGCTCCTGAGCATCTGGGTTAATCAGGCTGCCTGACCCTTAGACATTTTTGGCAGCAAAAGCAGTGCATCTGAGAGATGTGCCTTGATTTAACACCCTGACACAGCTGGGCTCCCTAGGCCTGTAGCTCTTAGCCCTTGGCTAGCCTCAGATCATACACACGCAGAGATTCCCTGTCCAAGAGCAACAAAGAGGAACGAGCCTCCCTGGCTCTGGGTCTTCACATCTGTTGCTGTCCTCTTGTCAAACCTGGGCTTTCTGTGATGTGAATTTGTTCTGTCAGTTCTGTCCCCTCTGGACCATTACATGTGTTCATAGCATCCCAGGAATAGGTTGTTAAAACAAAGATGTTCAATATTTAGTCAAAAAAGTGTTTCTTTGTTACCTGTGGAATGACAGCATCCTCCAAATTTGCAATTTGAGGCTGGGGAGCTTAGGGCTGGTTTAGTGCCTAAATGAAGGAAGTTGGCATCAGTTTGAAGGAAGGGTTAGCTGTATAAGAGAGAGAAAAGGGCAATGCCAGATGTTTAAGTGGAGGGGATTGTGGAGACAGTGTTTTTGTTAGTATTGAAGAAGAAATGGAGACCATAACAAAGGAAAAGTGGAAGCAAAAACGACACAGACATTAAAAGTAGGAAACTGAGAAAGGCAGTAGGGTTTCAGCCAAGCCAATGAGGAAGAAAGCGGAAAGGGATTAACTCAGTTTAAGCAGTGAACATGTTCTGGCACTGGAGCTTCCATCAGGACAGAAGAGAGAACTTGAGGGATGAGCTTAGCATGGTGGGAGATCAATGACCCAGAAGCAGATCTGAGAATGATCTGTGTGGAGATGACAGTTGAAACTGCAAGAACCAGTACTTGCTGGCATCCTTGATGACATTTTCAACCACTAGTCTTGCGTTCTACCTGCAGCAGGGTGAACTGAATTTGGCTCAGTTGTGCTGCATTAACAAAGTAGACAAGCTAATTATGAGCATGGAATCTCTATGTAAGAAGCATAAAGATCCATCTGAATTTTCAGCTCTCAGAAGGATCATGCAGTGTCAGCAGCAGAGGAAACCATAAGTACAGATCTAAAATTCTCTCCAAGAGACAATAAGCATAGAAACAGGCACCTCATTTGACAATAGCATTTCAAATTATGGCTGACTTAAGGGGTTGTGTTTTGCAAATGTCGTATCTGCATCCCTCTGCTTTCCTGTATGGACTTCAATTTATTTCACTAAAATCCAACTGAGATAAAGTACAGGAGTCCCTCACGGGCCTTTTAGCTGCCAGGAGCACCTGGATTACTGGCAACTTGCTGACTTTGAAATCTAAAAGCAAAAGGTTTCAGACAAAACTATAGAAACTGCACACGTGTGCCTGGGTCTGTTAGTCATCAGGGTATCACATGGGGATTGGAGATTACAGTGCTCTTGCGGGGAAGAGCTCACAGTTAACTGTGTAACACTGCAGAGCCGAATCAGCGGAGGAGGAGGACTCTGGCAGAGACAGGAGCATACATGCATAAGCCTGGAGTGATCAGAATAGAGTTGGGCAGGCAGGAAGGAAGGCAAGGAGGGATAACAGAGGAGAGGACAAACCAGAATAGACAGATCAATTATAATGATTTTAAGGACAGAATAGATCATTGTAGCTGTATAGCTTGACCTTGCCTTGTTAGTAGACCCATTTTTTATGTAGGAGTGCATGATCTCAGTTTGGTAATGAATCTTTACAACAGTTAAAGGAAGTGCAGTTGCACTGCACAGAATATAGTTTTGCTGTAACTCAAATGTTGAGATAAATGCAGGAGGATTTGCGTAAAGTATCTGCCTGAGGACTGGCACTGGACTACTGGAGATTAAATGCATCCTCTGGGTCTCAGTTTCCAAGACAAGTGAGAAATCTTGCCTAAATGAGCTGTCTCTGCTGAGACAAGATGCAAGACTTAACTTTTGACTGTAGAGTGGTTTTGGCAGCGTGTGAATTTCTGTTCTAAGGTTGCTTAATCATTTTACTTGAAATGACTGGAATAAGGCGACCACAGCATTAGTAGTTGAGTTGTGCTTTGGTGACCCAGTACCATTTACTATCTCCTTTATTGTCCTGAATCAGCTGCCAGAGCATGTGGGACAATTAAGTTTTAGGCACAGCAAAGTCTTGCTGGTGGCTTGAGTGTTCATCTGTCTTGCTCTGCCTTTTTGGAGTCAGTTGCTGTAACTGCCTCTTTCATACCATGTTCAGGCACAGCTTCGTAGCTACAATCCCAGTGAGATTACCTAAACTAGGAGAATTCTCAATTTTTTGTTTGAGACTTTTGCTTTTCCTTGGTATAACCCTTCATATCTCTGTCTAATTTGGTGCTTTTACCTGTTAGGGTGACCTCCACTGAAAGGCAGCCGAATGGATTCCAGAACAGCCTTCACAGTGCTGCATCCTGTGAGCCAGGGACAAATTCCACAGGTGAGTGCCAGTGCCAAAGACCAGGAAAGTGGGGGTGGGTATGCTGGGATGCTTTCATCTTTCTCAAAAACTGGCAGGGAAAAAACTTTCTCAGCAAGAAGAAGCACAGCTGCCTACCCTGCATGTAGTGGTTCCTAGGTAACAGTCTGGGTTCAGCTGTGCAGGGAATTTATTCCTCCTGGGATTTAAAAGACTAAGCAGAAGGGAGCAAAGGCTGAGTTTCATAAAGTTGGAAGAGGAAGATCCTTAAAAATGTGGCTGGGAAAAAAAACTTGGCTAAAATGGCTCCTCTTTGCTTTAGGCTTTGGCTCAAAGATGCTCTGTTGTTTAAGCTTGGCCTGTAATAAAGGGCCAAGACATTCTTTACATTTTTCTTCAGTCTTGCAGAAAAGCCTCTTAGTTCAAAAAGACATAGTTGAGACTTGTGAATCAGCTGCATAGTGAAGTCAATCAGTAGAGATGAAAGTTCCCAAAGGAAAATCACTGAGACATAGAATCAAATCTTCATTATTCCCTAGTGGCTAATTAATTCAAACAGGTTTATCTGCTGTTAAGGTCTTAGTAAATGAGGACCCAATCCATTTTTCTTTGATGCAGACCTATTAGCAGGTAGAGTGCAGCCTTGATGAACCCATACTACCCACGGCCTACAGTAATGGAATATATGGACAAATTATGGTCTAGAATGCTTTAAAAAAATTATGTTTCTGACCTTTTGTTTTGCTGTGAAAACCCTGAAAACATGAGTTATCATTGATGCAGTGATCTCTGTGTTTTCACAGGCTGAAAAAAAAGTTTGCATAGGAGTGAATTACCCAATTCATCTCTTGGATATTTAGCTCTGAAACTTAAAGATGACATTTCCATTATTAATGTCAGTGATTTTATTGCTGATCCTCTAGCACAAACATTCAGCTAATGCACTTATTTTACAGTTCCAAACTGCCTTCTGTGCTTTACCACCTGCCAAAAACTCCAGTTATCCTACCAGAAATTTTACAGGGTGACTAGCCATAGTCAGTAAAAAAGACCCTACAGCACATTGGAACGTGACAGTGTAGGAATGGAATATAATAGGATTATCACAATATATAAAGTTATGTCAGCACCGTAGTATACGTATAGTTGAGGCAAAAGTTCTGGTCTACTGCATAGTTCAAGCTGAGTTTTTAGTACAGTGTATAAAGTAAGGTTACACATAAATTTACAAGTAAATGTAAAAATGAAGTTCTTGATATTCTGACCAAGCTGATTTGCTGAATGGACTTACATTAAAGTGTTTGTGTGCTGAGTTCTGCCTTCTTTTTCACAGTTTTAAGAGCACTCTTGCAGTTGCCGCCCTGTAATTTTAACCTCTGCAAGAAATTCTCTCCATCTCCTCTGGGTACTGTTGTTGTTATGTGTGTCTGTGATAACTGTAGGTAGCATTTTTCTATCCTTCCCTGTTTCTTTGAATATTTATGCAGAGCATGCGTGAGGATTGTTGGAAGGCAACAGTCAGAGCTGCAGGAAGAACATAGCCTAGATAACAACTACAAAGTTCAGGGTAGTCACCCTGTCTGGGAACACTTACAATACAGTGAGAACTGAGAACTTCAGCTCATGTTTCCTTCTGTAGGACTAGGCTAGCTGCACTGTACTAAACTTTTCCTCTCTCTGAAACTGAAACAAAGAGTTTAGCCTGCCATTTAGCTAAGAGTGTGAGGGCTTAGATAGAACCCTAGTTTGGCTAGCAGAACTATGGTGGGTGGGTCACTCAAAGGTTCCTTGTCTCTCGAAGAGGTATATAGCTCCATGAACAGTGCTAAATATTGCAGTGATTGAACTAAGTAGAGCAAAATGTTTGTTCTTGGAAACTGGGGAATGATATTTTCTTCAGCTTTGCACCAAGCCACTGGTATGCGTCAGAGGCTGCTGTGCCCAGTCTGTGTGTCTCAGAAACTACTCTGGTCCTTCCTGCAGGAGCAGCTGTTTGTCTTCTTCACTCTCTCTCTATTGATTGCTTACACTAAGGCCCTGATTTCCCTCATCAGCATCTTATTTGGGGTTACTGTTTCACATGTATTTAGTATCCTAGATACCAACTAGAAGGATTGGAGACATGAGTCATAAAGCAGATTACAGAATAAACTGCAACCATTTAAAGATAGAAGGCTGTGAAAAGTTGCAGAGATAAGAGGAACCCCTGTATAAACACACACAGACAAATGTTCAGAAGTGTCTGAGAAGCTTGAATAGGCCTTCTCCTCTAACAGCCTATCTGAGGATAGCTATGAGGCTCTGCAGAGAAGAAGCATAAAGGTATCACAAATGATCTAACTAAATGTAAGGATGATGCTCAAAGGAAAAGAGAGTCAGGCAGTGTGGAAACTTTTAACCAGACTGTCCAGCAAACAGTTCACTGGTAGTGAGTACTGCAACTGTAGGAGAATACCAGTTGTAGATACTGTTATGCAGTGGGCTCAGTCTCTTGAAGACAGATCCCTTGAGATGCAATAAAAGGGAGATGAATAGAAGAGTTGAATAAAAGCCAGCATTTCTGCAAAGCAGCTCAGGATTCTGAAGCCACCGCTACAATGAAAGTGTGGCAGCCTCTCATCCCTATGGCCTCATCCTCATTTCATGGAGAGGCAGAAACTGTGTGTGAGCTGTGTGCCACTGGTGTAATGAGAGAGAAGGCAGAGATTCTCATGAGTATCTACAGGCAGGAAGCTAAATCTGCAAGCTATCATTTAGGGGTTATTTGTAGCATCTGAACAGACAGCTTCCTATCAAAGTTCCTGGAGGTTTAATAGGATTTATTAAAGAAATACTAAGAATTACTACCTCTAGGGGACATTCAGAATTCTTCTGACCTGATTTTTCACTGAAATTGAACACCCATCTGCTAGTGGGTTGTCAGTCATTCTGAAAATACAGCTATTATCATATTGCTTTTTTTTTTATTCTGTGTTACTTCGAGGGTCCCACAGCATTACACTGATTGTTTCCTGCTTCATGGAATTTAGCAAATCAATTAGTATTAGTGAAATAGGGTGATTGTGAACTCAGAAATCCATTCTCTCTTCCAAGTCATCTTCAGAATATAGCTTGCTGAGTAACAGATAAGCTAAGTGGTATGGTGGGTTGTTCAGTTCCAGGTTGTCTTTATGAGGCTGTGCTTGACACGGTGAGTTCAAGTGATGAAGGAAGGAACACAGAATCACAGAATGGCAAGGGTTGGAAGGGACCTCCGGAAATCGTCTAGTCCAACCCTCCTGCTAGAGCAGGTTCACCTAGCGCAGGTTGCACAGGACGTCGTCCAGACGGGCTTTGAATATCTCCAGAGGAGGAGACTCCACAACCCCTCGGGGCAGCCTGTTCCAGTGCTCTGTCACCCTCAAAGTAAAGAAGTTCTTCCTCGTATTCAACTGAAACCTCTTATGTTTCAGTTTGTGCCCATTGCCCCTTGTCCTGTCGCTGGACACCACTGCAAAGAGTCTGGCTTCGTCCTCATGACATCCACCCTTAAGATATTTGTATGTGTTGATGAGGTCCCCTCTCAGTCTTCTCTTCTTCAGGCTCAACAAGCCTAACTCTCTCAGCCTTTCCTCATAGGGGAGATGCTCCAGTCCCTTTATCATCCTTGTTGTTCTCCTCTGAACTCTAGGAGTTCCTCATCTTTTTTTGAACAGGGGAGCCCAGAACTGGACACAGTACTCCACATGGGGTCTCACCAAGGCAGAGTAGAGGGGGAGGACCTGCTGGCCACACTCCTCTTAATACACCCCAGGATACCATTTGGCCTTCTTGGCAACAAGGGCACGCTGCTGGCTCATGGCGAGCTTGTCGTCCACCAGGACTCCCAGGTCCCTCTCAGCAGAGCTGCTTTCCAGCAGGTCAGCCCCCAGCCTGTACTGGTGCATGGGGTTTGACCTCCCCAGGTGCAGCACTCGACACTTGCCCTTGTTGAACTTCATCAGGTTCCTCTCCACCCAACCTACAGGCTGGCCATTTTTTTTACTGTATATATTAACAATGTAAGGTGTACAGAGACATTTTGCCATATTTTGCTGTAGTGGCATTAGGCAAATAGTGCATGAATTCTTTTTCTCAAGAAAGTGAAGTTCTAGATAAAAGGTGTCATTTTTGCCCCAGAATTTAGCTTTTGAACAACTGGCAAGAAACATCAAGGAAGCTCTGTAGCTACATGGAAGACCTCGTAGTTAGAAATTTATTATATTTATTATTCTTCCTTTTTGAAAATGCTAACACAAAGCAGGTTTTAGGGAGAATAGAGGATGAAGGGTAGTTCATGAAAATATAACAGTACAGTCCCATGCAGCTTCTCTGTTCCTGAGCTTTTCTGCAAAAGCCTGAGGACAGGAACAATCTGAAAGTACAGTTAACCCCTCAGTGGAGGGGATGCACAAGGTGATACCAACCCCAGCTGATTTTATTTGGTTTGGTTTGATTTGTAAAGATAACAGCAACTATGAAATTTTGTCTTTGTGCTTCTGTCTTTCATTTGCTGCCAACTTCTTGAGAGTTTGTGAAATTTTTATTTTAAAAGCTTCAGAAGACAGAATGCCTCTGGGGTTCTGTTTTACTATGGCAAAAATATAAAGTGCTGATAACCTATGTAATTACAAACATGAATCGTGATTAAAACTGGGCAAGACTGGCTCCAGACCTGACAGGACTTTTACCTTTTCATACTCAGACTGATTAACATTGATGCAGTTTTATTGTGTTAGTGTTTATATTACTAGTGTCCACATGGCTTTTCCACTATGTGTGCTGGGAGAAGAAAAAAATATTAGAGTTACTGACTAGGGGAGGTAAAAGTTAGTCATATGCTATCTGCATTTGACAGCAGTGAAGACTGCTAATTCATGCAAACTCTCAGAACTCTACCTAGTCTGGCTTCAAGCATGAGTCCAAAACTAATTTATTTGTATTGTAGTTCTCTTGAGATTACTTCATACAGAAGGTGAATGCCAAAACCCAATCTGAAGCTA